CATCGCTCGTCAGGGATGCATCCTTCTATTATTATCATTGCCTGTAGCCTTTTTTTACTATCATTATCATTGCCTGTATCATATTAGTCATTATTGCAATAAAACGGAACTCACTACAGAAAAGCCAAATCCCCCCCCCCCCCCTTGCAAATTAAGACAATACTAATAGCTTTTAGAAAAAAATGTGGATATAGAGACAAACATGCACAAAAAATATATTCAATTAATCTAAAAAGTATAAACAATAATATATAGTATAAAAAAATACACATAAAGATTTAAAGCCCATATAATACAAAATAATTTAATATATAATAAAACAAGAAAGTAAAAAGATGGATAAGTTTCTTACCATATTTGATTAAGTTAATAAAAATTTTTCTCAAAAAGTCAACAACTAATTATGGTAGCTGACAGATTTTTTATTTTCCAAAAATATCATTACTCAATTTTTTTTTTTTTTTTCACTCTTTATACTAATTCAACTAAAACTTTGTAAAAAAACTTAATACAAAATTAAAATAAGAAAATGTACACACATTTTACTGTTGGTTTAAAGTTGCACTAAAGAAAAAAACTAGATTTATTTTTAAGCATTAAAACTATAACAGTTATTTATAGATTTTGGATATTAACTTATAATGCTTATATTAACTTATAATGCTTATATTAACTTATAATGCTTATATTAACTTATAATGCTTATATTAACTTATAATGCTTATATTAACTTATAATGCTTATATTAACTTATAATGCTTATATTAACTTATAATGCTTATATTAACTTATAATGCTTATATTAACTTATAATGCTTATATTAACTTATAATGCTTATATTAACTTATAATGCTTATACTAACTTATAATGCTTATATTAACTTATAATGCTTATATTAACTTATAATGCTTATATTAACTTATAATGCTTATATTAACTTATAATGCTTATATTAACTTATAATGCTTATATTAACTAATGGATTTAAATAATAAATGCATTTCAATTACAATTTAAATGTTAGTATCTACATATAAATGAAATTACATCATATATTATAAGAAAAATATTAAAACTATAAAATAACTATTATTTACAATTATAATAATTATCTTTTTTTACATGTTCATATTAATCAACATTTTTTTATAAATTGCTTCAAATACTTTCTTTTTGCAACTAATACTATATTTTTGTCAAAATAAATACATAAATCATTATCTTACCTCCCAAACTTCTTCAACATCCATTTTTTCAATTGTCATACATAATAAACCAGGTTCATCAATAGACCAAAATGAGCTGTCAACTTTTATTGCATTAAAAAGAATACCACTAACTAAAACTTTACCATTGACAATCAGTTCCCAAGAATTCCTTTTTAAATTACTAGTAATATCTCTTTTTTTTGCAGTTGAAGGAATAGATACATAAACAAAAATAACTTTTTCTTCATTATCTTCATACCAGTTATACAGCAATGTTGTACCGTTTCCTTTTCCACTTTTGACAAAATTAAGATGCATTTTATGCAAGTAATTATCATTAAAGGTTTCTATGTTGTAGCCGCAAGATACTAATGCTGCTTTAAATTCATTAAAAGAACACTCTGGAGTATTTGCTGATAAGGATTTGCTATTATAGTCACCGTCTTCAAGTTTCATAAGTGCTAATAATGTATCACCATCACACTGTTCTACAACGGTATTTATTGTGTCCTTATTAGAACTTGGATATACTTTTTCCACATTATACTTTTGTTGCGAATAATTTTGAAACTCATCAAATTGAAGTTGCGCAGATATGTTAAAAATGCCAGCAAGATTATCCAAAAGTAAAGCATTTGCTTTTAACTCATTAATACTTTTCTTGGAATAGTCTGTTGACCAAAGATGGCGTGATATAAAACAACAGCCATTTGCAGTTAAATCTTTTTGAGTAAGCAGCATTGCAGCTTTAAATTTAAAGTTAAAAAATTTCACATAAAAAAAATTATGTAATTATAAAATAAGTACAAAATTATAAATAATAAAGTAATATATATATATATATATATAATATATATATATATATATATATATATATATATATATATATATATATGTACAAAACTCGTTTGGGTTGGACAGTGTCTGATCAAATTTTAAAAATAGAATTTTGTCATTGTCATGTTATTCAGTTTATTTAATGTTAATCTAGTGAAGTTGTAGTTTTTTTCCTTATTTAGAATATTTTATCGCAGATTTTTTTTTTTTTTTTAATTAAACAGTTTCAATTCAATATTGTTTATTTTTTTATATAGAGCTAAATTTTGATTGAGTTAATTTTTTAAAAACTTTGTTAATTTATATTGCATTATATTTTATATTCAGGCTTGGACAGGAACGGGGTGTGATCGCATGTTGTAACTGACTACGCTTTTTTTTTTTTCTTTACAATTAAACAACGGATGTTTTGATGTTTTAACAATTTAAATGCATTAAAAAAATTGTTGTTACGAATAACTTTTAACCATTCATTTTTTTTAAAGTTTTTATTTTACTGGAAAGCTTTAAACAAAATAAAAAATAATTATAATGTTCAAAATAAACGCATGTGTAAATTAAATGTTATACTAAAGTTTTCTTTTAGTATAACATTTAATTTAACATGTATTTTTCATTAAAAAGTTTAAAGATTTTTTTTTTTAGTTATAGATTTTTTTTTTTTAGTTACTTCAAATTATGAATAAGTTAAATTAAATCTTCCCTTGATTTAATTGCTTTATTTTTTTTTTTTATTATTTTTTTTTTGTTTGTTTCTATTTTTACAAAGAATTGTTTAAAATTTTTTTTTTAAAACTTGACTTGACTAAATAAACTTGACTAATCTGAGCATGAAATGATTAAAAATTACTTTTTAAAAAAGACTACATTATTTTTTTAAACAATTTTTTTTTTTTTTTGCAAAATTTCAAAAAAAATATTTATACAACTAAAAAATTTTTTTTCCCCTTCTTTTCAATAACTTAATTTCACTTTTCAACAAATTAAATAAAATTTGTTTACTTATTAAACAATCAATAGAAGTAATTTGTAAAAGCATTTTTCGTAACTTTGATAAAAAGTTTTAAAAGAATAGTTTTTAAGTAATATATTTCAAATGCAATTAAAAACTTAACAAAAAGTAACTTTCACTTCGATTTTTTTGAGTTTTATTTTAAAGCAAATTTATATACTTTTTCATAAGGAATTGTTTTGTTTATTCTTTAGTTTTTTTCAATTTTTTTCCTAGTTTAAGTTTAGCTTAACATTTCTTTTTTCAGCGCATTTGTGAAACATAAATCATTGAAACATCTAAAGAGCAGTGGTCAAGTTGTAAACAAAAAAAAAATTGTTTGCATAGTCAGCAATAGCGTTATATATATATATATATATATATATATATATAAATATATATATATATATATATATATATATATATATATATATATATATATATATATATATATATATATATATATATATATATATATATATATATATATTATAAAGTATTTATTTTTTAAAATTAAATTCCTGTTGGTCAAAATGATTACCTTATAAATAGATTGGACAACCTGAGGTTTTAGCCGGAAAAAAAAAAATATATATATATATATATATACATATATATATACATTTATATATATACCTCCCGCAGCTGCGGGCCCATCGCTACCCTTCTGTATATATGTATATACATATATATATATATATATATATATATATATATATATATATATATATATATATATATATATATATATATATATATATATATATATATATATATATATATATATATTATATATATATATATATATATATATATATATATATATATATATATATATATATATATATATATATATATATATATATATATATATAGACTTGGTCAGGAAGGCGTGTGATTGCACGCCAATATATGACCACGCAAATAATACTTTTATTTTGACAATTTGACCACGGTTTTTAAATTTGAAAAATGCGTTAAAATTTTTTTTTTTTTATTATGTCAAAAATGAATAATTTTGAAACTTATCTTTACTAACGTTTTTGTATTAGTGAAATGCTTTTAAATAAAGTAACAGTTACTGTGCTTTTAAATAAAGAACAGTTACTGTGAACGTTTTAGTTTAAAGTATAGATGAAAGTTGCATAAATTTTTATTTATATTATTTAAATATATATAAAATTATATAATTAATAAAATTACATATAAGATTTTTTTATAATTAATCTTATTTTTTAATTATTCAAATTTTATAAGCGACGACTTTAACAACGACGACTTAAACAACGAATGCCTCTTTAATAAACTTTACTTAAGAATCGTTAAAGTTAATAAACTCGGAAAGATTTCGTTGAGAAGAAAAAAAGACAAACTTTTCAATTAAAGCTATTAAATTTTCTAATGTTTTTTTTATTATTAAAACGCTTTTAAATAAAGTAAGAATTCACTACTAATTATTTTTTATTATGTTAAAGTATTAATGTATTTTTCTTTCGTCTCTATATAAAAAAATTATTGATTAAAGTTAATATACTCAAAATATAACAAACATTTTTTTAGCAAGAATGTAAGTTAAAAATATTTATATAAATATAATTTTATTTTTATAACTTTTATGATTTATTTTCTTTAGTCTTTAAATTAAAAAATATATATATATAAATTAAATCAAATTATCAGTTAAAGAAATAGTTTTGTTCAATATTTTTCGTTTTTATCTTTGCTTTTCCTTATTTGCTTTCTGATATTGGATTTTTGACAAAAAGAAAAGATTTAGCTATTTTTCCTTTGTTTATATTACTACGAAGAATTGTAAAGTTTTTTTTATTGTTATCTTTTAAAATATGCGTATTTATTAAAAAATCGTCATTAAAAAGTTTTCTCATTAAGTTTAATCATTTTTTTAAAAAACACCACTAATACGCTATGAAGTTTTTTATAAAAACAAAAGTGTTTATTTACATTTTTTTTGTCAATTAGTACTACTTATTATTTTTTACTATTATAATAATTTTATATGGTGCCGTAACAAAGCAGACAGGACACTACTAGTTTTATATTATTAAAACATTAGTAAAGTCAAAGTTATTTATTTCAAATGTAATTATCTTATTGTTTATTATTCATTTTAGTTTTTATTTTGTTTTATTTTTGTTTTAGTTATTTATTACTAAGCCATTTTTATTTTATTTTTCATTATTTTTTTAAAAGGATTTTTTTTCTTTTTTTAAAATAAGTTTGTTTTTTTAGTTTCTTTAAGTTTTCAGCGCTTTATTTTAACATTTTAAAACACAATTTAACCACAGTTTTAACATTTTGTTAAAACTGTGGTTAAATTGTCAAAACAAAATATTATTTGCGTGGTCATATAAAGCCATGAAATTGTACTCCTTCCTGACCAAGCCTGTATATACATATATATATACATATATACATATATATATATATATATATATATATATATATATATATATATATATATATATATATATATATATATATATATATATATATATATATATATATACACACACACGTATATATACAATATATATATATATATATATATATATATATATATATATATATATATATATATATATATATATATATATATATATTTATACATATATATATATATATACATATATATACATATACATATATAAATATATATATATATATATATATATATATATATATATATATATATATATATATATATATATATATATATATATATATATATATATATATACATTTATATACATATACAATTTTTTTCTTTAACAGGTTGTTGTTATATATATATATATATATATATATATATATATATATATATATATATATATATATATATATATATATATATATATATATATATATATATATATATTCAATTTTTTTCTTTAACAGGTTGACCTGTTAAAGAAAAAAATTGAAATCAGAATGTTATTTGGAAAATGCAAATCATAAAATTTGATAAAATCATTTAAATTTTGAAAATGTGCTTAGAATAGTTTCATTGTTTATACTAATTTAATTGTTTATACTAATTTTAAGGCTTTCATTGTTTATACTAATTTTAAGACTTCCTTAACAAATATTAAGTATGACTATATATATTAATTTTTTGCTTCACTTAATTAGATTATTTTCATTTTACTGGTAATTAAAAACATTTTTTCACATATGATTAAAACTCATATTTTATTACTAATTAATAAAAAAATATTTAATATATTATTTTAATAATAATAAAACAATATATAATAAATGTTGTATTTAAAACATTTTTTTCTTTTAACTGTATATAATATATATATATATATATATATATATATATATATATATATATATATATATATATATATATATATATATATATACATGTATATATATATATACATATAAATATATATATATATATATATATATATATATATATATATATATATATATATATATATATATATATATATATTAAAGAAAAATTATTGCACATTTTATCTTTGCTTATTGAAATCATTTTATACATACATACATACATACATACATACATACATACATACATACATACATACATACATACATACATACATATATATATATATATATATATATATATATATATATATATATATATATATATATATATATATATATATATATATAAATCTTGTTTTGTGTAACATTTGTAATAATATAGTATGGTTTTATAAAGCAGTTGTTTTTTTTGTATCAAATTAAATAGCTGCACAAAAGAGTTAATAACATTAGTATAAACAGCTTTTAAAATGACAAATTTTATTAATTAGTAATAAAATATGAGTTTTAATCATATAAATGATTATATAAAATGATTTCAATAAGTAAAGATAAAATGTGCAATAATTTTTCTTTAATATCGTTAACTTTCAAGATTGAAGTTCTTATTTTGTTATTACTTGTAATTGTCGTACGTAACTAAGAACATTTTCTCTTTCAAACTTTTTTTTTAAACCTTTTCATTAATTTTTCTAGTAGTTTTTCCTGCCATTTGTGAAATCTTTGCAATAAATAAACTTTTTTTAATAATGATCAAATATATTTTCATATAAGATTAAAGTTAACAACTTTTTTCTTCTTCTATTAATCAAGGAATCAGAACAAACATAAATTTGAAAATAGATTTTTAGTTAAAACTTTGTTTAATATAACATAGGTAATTGTTATATATAAATTTCACATAAAGTATTCAGTTTGATTTTTTTTTAGTTTGCAAAAATTGTTTGTACATTTAAAAAAATATTCAAAATTAAATTACTTGGATGGGATCAAACTTATATATATATATATATATATATATATATATATATATATATATATATATATATATATATATATATATATATATATATATATATATATATATATATATATATATATATATATATATATATATATATATGTATATATATATATATATATATATATATATATATATATATATATATATATCAGACCTTGTGAATTTTACCTATGCGTTAAGTCATTTACATTATACCAAAACTTTTTTCAATTGGAATATTTAAACAGTCTTTTGAAAATAGCTTATACGGAAAACATTAGGCAGTAATTAATTGTTGTAAAAAACATTTTCAGTATATTTTTTTGCTTTTGATAACAAAAACAGATTTTTTAAAATAATTTTTAAATCTAAATATATTTTATTATTTAAATTAAATTTATTATTAAATATTAATAAATTTAAATTCATTTTATTAAATTCAATTTTAATATTTAAAAAAATTTAAAACCCTCGGTTATACAACTTTTTTTACTGCTAAAATTTCCAATCAGTGATGTATTTAGACTAATTTTGATACCAGTATACCAGTATGGGCTCCAAATTTTTATCCAAATTTAATTTAAAACAACTCTATATTAACACAAAGTTTAATCTAAAAAAAATTAAAATAAAACAATTCTTTTAGATTGACTTGATTTGAAAATGTTGAGTTCAGTTTTGTTGGTATTAAGACCAACTTGTTTGTTAAAGGGTAGCCATTGAAGTAGATAAAAATCATGATTAATATGTTTGTTAATTTTATTTTTAACAATTCATTTGTTATGAGTAAGTTGGTATGATCATCAAAATGGTAAACTGTTGAAAATTCTAGATAGATATTAAGATCATCTTTAATATAAAAAAAAGCAATTGTCTTTATACAGAGCCTCGGGGTACACATGTGGAGCATTTTATTGGCAAAGATTAAAAGCATCATTGACAGAGATAAATTGCGATCTATTAAGAAGATATGATGAAAACCATTGGAGAGCAATACCTTGAACACCAGAATCAACAACTTCTTCTTAGTCATGAATCACTCCACATGCAAAAAATTTGTTGTCAAAAGCTTTCCTAATAGTTTCAGCTGTTTAAGTGCATGAGTTGTGGATTGTTTGCTACGAAATCCATACTGAAGTTTGTGAAGACATTGATTATTTTTTTGTTTGTTTTGTTTTTTAATAAATAAAGAAAAAAAAATTATGCAAAAATTTAGAAACTTTTTTTATATTAGCTCAAAGTGCCATATTTACCATTCTAAGTCAATAGTGTAACCTACCTGAATTATGAACTTTGGTAATCTTGAGTACATCTGCAACATCCCCTGTACTTTTTCTACTGAGCATATGAAACAATGTTTCAAAAAGTTGAGAAGGAAAATTTATGCATTTTAACTGCGGTTCATGCAGTTCCATAAAACTTACAAAATCTGAAGTCATTTTAACTACAAAGTATATGTTTTTCACGTTTGGGTCTTTTTAAGTCATAGTGACGGAAAAACCGAAATCACATTTGACTGTAAACTGTTCTTTTGGATGATTCAAAATAAGATTTTAATTTTTTAATAAAACGCCGACTTTGAAAGTACATTTAACCTTTTTATACTATTACAAGTATTAAGACACATAAAAAAAACATTCCTAAATAATACTTTTTTTATCTCTTTTTCTTAGTTTGTGTTTTTACCTTGTAAATATATTTTACAGAAGGTGATTAATAAAATATTAATAATAATAATTACCTATAATTTTTAGGTCTGCGTTTTATTAAAACTTCAAAACCTTATTTTGAATCATCCAAAAGAACGAACAGACCTTTCTGTAAAGGGGCTGCCCATAAATACGTCACGCTCTAGGAGGAACAGTGATTTTGTGACAACTCATACGGGACTTGTCACTAAAGTGGTACGATGTTGTGACTAGAAGGAGGTGATGGGTGGGTAGAGGGGTCAAAAACGGTTGTAAATTGCGTGACGTAATTTATGGACGTTTCCAAAGTACTCCTCTAAAGTATAATCTTTATATATCGACGAGTTCATATGTATTGTTTATATTGTAGGACTTTTTTTTTGGTGGTGTTGTTGCTGGTCATTTTTATTATTGTTGCGTTTTACTTTTGTTGAAATTTTGTTAAACACATCATCCTTACCTTCTTTGAGTCCCTGACTGATTAGAACAGAATATACATAATATAAAATAAAAAATTATGAAAAAACGTTTTTTATCATGTTTATCTTTACGGCGTATATTTTATGTATTTTTTACATGATTATATGAAAATTGTTATTGTAACTGTTTAATCAGCAAAATAAAAATATATATAATAATATAAATTATTCAAGTGATTTCATTTTTTTTTGTCTCGTCATAATATTTAAATATATCTTTTTGTTTTCTTTTTTTATTTTCACCTTTCTGATCGTTAAACGTTATGTTATCTCATTAATTCACTATCTCTCATGTCAGTTCATTACATTTTTTCTTTTTTGTTATTAGTCTGGCTTTTTTTAATTGTAATTGTTCTTCTTTTTATTATAATTATTTTTTGGTCACTATCTATGCTTTTACATTTTGTTGTTTGTTGCTTTATTTGTTTATTTTGTTAAGGTTTCACTCCAATGACTAGTTTTTAACAATACAAGTGACACCGAACCTAATTTCATAAAATTATAAATCTGTGATTTTTTTTAATTTCATGGCTAAATGAATAATAAAAAAAAAAGTCATTCGCTTTTTAAGATATATCTAAAATATATACAGTGAGCCAAAAAAAAAATGCAGCAAACGATTTCTTTTCAAATATTTCATTTCTAAACTTAAATAAAATACTAATAAATACTTTTTTGGGGAGAGAAATACTTTAAATTAAAGAAGAAATATATTTAGTTCAATATTTTATTTCCATTTTATAAAGTCCATGATCACATTTTTTTAAATTTTGAATAAATGTAAATTGACTTTGATTTCTAAAGAAACTTAATTATAAATTAGTATTTGGTGGGTCCACCTTTAGCCTGGATAACAGCCTTACATCGTCTTGGCATTGATTCAACCAAACTTTTTGTTTTTTTTGGCATAATTTTTGCCCATGCCACTGTCACAGCCTCTTTAAGCTCCTCTTTCTTTCTGAGTGACCAATCTCCAATTTACCTGTTCAGAACAGCTCACAAATGTTTGATGGGGTTTAAATCCGGGCTTTGTGCGGGCCATTCAAGGACTTCGACACTATTATCAGTGAACCATTTCGTTGTATCTTTAGCGGTGTGTTTAGGGTCGTTGTCTTGCAGAAAAATTTAACTATTGCCTAGTCGCAATTTTCGAGCTGAAGACTTGAGATTGTTTTTGAGAATTTCTCTGTATAATGGAGCATCCATTTTTGAGTCAATAAATGCCAGTTTTTCAACTCCTTTCCAAACCATAGGTCCACAAACTATAATATTACCATCGCCAAACTTTACTGTGCCTTTCATACAGTTCAATTTATACACTTCTCCTTTCTTGCGCCATACTTTTTTAGCTCCATCAGATGACTTCAGATTGAATTTAGATTCATCACTCCATAAAATCTCTTTCCAGAAACTAATATCCATGTTTCTGTATATTTTAGCAAAATCAAATTGGCGTTTGATATGATTCTTCGTCAAATATAGTTTTTTACAAACATGTCTTCTTTGGAAACCAGCTTCCTTGATCCCGTTACGTATTGTTTGAGAAGTGATCTTGATGCCGTGCTCATTTTCCACCTTTTTAGCTAAATTTCTGGCAGACTGGAATCAATTTTTTTGATTTTTATTACGATATTAGGGTCAATGGAAGTATTTGTCTTTTTTTTCTACCTCGTCCTTCCAAAGAAGCTGTAGTCCCATTCTTTTTGTATTTTACCATTATTCTGGAAACAGTGCAGTTGGAAATGCCAGTCTCTGCCTCAACCTCACGATATGTCTTACTCTGTTTTACTAGGTCCACAGCTAAATTACGTTGGGCTACAGTCCAGTGTCGATCTCCCTTTGCCATCTTTTTATAAAATGATAAAAAATTAGAAAAAATGAATAACTTTTGTTTAATTTTGTACTTTTTATCTATTTTTAAATAAATTACAATGCAAGAGATCACGAAACTTTAAAAAAAAAAAAAAACTTACGTTTTTATATTACACTGCAATTATTTTTTTGCGATAGCTACTAACTTTAAAATGTTTAACAGCAATTACACAACAATTAAAACTGCCCACACCATTCTTTTGTTTCCTAAACATAACGGTATTTTTATTTCACCCAGTTTTATCCGTTATGTTTTTTTATATTACAATGAAAGTGATCCAAAAACTAAAAATTTGAAGAGAACCGTTTGCTGCATTTTTTTGGCACACTGTATTTGAAAAGCATTTACATCTAAAGATATATCAGTTTGAAAAACATTCACATCTAAAGATATATCAGTTTGATAGAGGAATACGTTTTGCATTATTATACGAAAATAAAGCAAAAGGTAAATTAGAATAAAAAATAGTAAAATCATTGATTACCCAAAATCCACATTCACTACTAAATTTAAAAAAATGTTATGTAAATTAAAAAAAACAGAGTTAGAAAAAGCTACGTCACTGAATGATACCCATGCTTGCTTTGATTCAAAAGAAAAACGAGTGTTATTTCGTAAAACTTTAAATGAAATAAATCCCTCAATAAAACATACTGTTGAACTTAAAAACTAAAGAAAATAGCCTAATTCTTTAGATATTTGTATTACAATTACAATGAGCAGATTTTATGATTTCCAAATACACCGTAAGGATGCGATAACAAATGTTCAAATAAAAAAAATCCAACATCAACCCAAGTATAATCACTTGCGTCTTTAAAGGATTTTTATTTAGAGAAAAACCCTGTCTTTTTTATTGAAATTAAAAAAATACAGTTTTTTGCAATACTAATAGTTTTATTATTTTAGAAATATTTGCTGGGTTATAGATAACAGCATCATTACCTTTTTAAATATTACAATAACTTTTAACCGTTATAGTTTATATAAAACTGTTGCTATTAACGTCAGCAGTTGAGTGGGTTCTTTTGCTTTTAAATTTAAAAAATGTCCAATACATAATTTTGACATATTGGCCTTCATAAAGAATAATCCCGCTGTTTCGCGCAGAGCAAACGTTTTTTTATATCTAGTGCCTCCTTAATTTTTTTTAAAACTTTTTATTTTCTACCTTTAATGTTCTTATTTTTTCTTCTTTACGAAAGGTTTTATGAAATGCTAATGCTAATTGATAAGGTTCCTTTTCGTCAACGCTCCTCTGATGTTGATGCATCCCCGTGTTACCTGTATTTTTTGTTTCACCTACGTAAACTTTGGAACAGTTGTATTTTATTATATAGGTTCCAGGCTGACTGTTATTAGGTAGTTTTGATTTATTTTTTGATTTGATTTAGTATAAAGATTTTAAATTTGTGTTTGATTTAAATACTGCTCTGTATCCTGCTTTTCAAAATATTTTTCAAAGTTCTGGTGAAAGGCATGGTACCCATGGTAAAGACACTAAAGGAAAATTAAAAAATAAAGTTGGTGTGTAATACTTCTCAATTTCTTTTCACCGTACCCATTTTCAAAAAAAAAATGTTAATAAGTTGTTTTTACAGAAGTTTAATCATACAGTGTAGTCATAAAATCTACCGCCGTCTATTTATATTAGAACATGTGCTTTCCATCTTATTTATACAGCCTTCATGAAAGGAGTTGAGTTAATTCCATTTGATGATAAACTATTTGTAAATGTTTTTTGGTTTAAACATTTGGCAGCTAGAAGAGAAGACTATTAGATATACATATATAAGATATATATAGATTCATTTTTTGAAGAACTCATGGAAATAGCAAGTAATTTCTTTCTTCCCCCAATAAGTAGTCGGTGGCTATAATTGGCTCCTGCTTGTAAAATTAGCTCCTGTTTTATTATTTCCTCTAAAACATATTATCTATAACATATTTATTATCTTTTAGATGAATGGGTTTGTTCTTTAAGAAGACCAACTATAGTGTAATATTTTAATTTTATTTTTCATACTCAAGTTTTGTGAAAATAGTGTAATAATTTACTGTTGATTTTAATTGTTGTTTCTTGTTTTGTGTTAATAACTTAATATATAATTGTTTTGATTTTCTTGTTTCATATAAAATATAAATAAAACAGTTGAGGTATGGACTGGCGGAGGAGCCAGTTTAACAAAAACTGCCATATGTAATTTAAATAATGTCCAAAATTTAAAAAAAATTTCTGTCCTGAAATTAAAAAATACTATGTGGGAGGCCTGAAAATGCTTTTAGATTAAGTTCAGGATTTATTGTCATTGCTGTTTTAATTGCATTATTTTCATGGAATTGTAGAAAAGACTTCGCAAAAACCACCATAAACGAGAGTCCTATTGGGCCTGAGTTTTCCACTTCGTGTTCTCATTGTTCTAAATAAGATAACATTGAAATAAGCATAGTTCAATGAGTTTCAGGTATACTTAGTTTTGTTAATTTTTTTTTATGATAAATTTAATTGTTCTAAAAGTAAAAGAGCGGCTTCTTTAAATTAACGCGTACAGATTTACTACATCAAAAAACACCTGATCTCATCGTTGGCGATATTACGATTTTCTGTTACTTTTTTTATTAAGCCAGAGGAGTTTTTTAATCGTGTCGGATTTTCATTTAAGGCTTTTTGTATTGTTATAGCTAAGAATTCTAGTATTCTATAGTTTTGTATTACATACGATTTTTCAGGTTTATGAGCTTTGATTACTCCATACATATGTGGTAGGATCAATAGAATATATTTTTTTGTATTCCTCGTTAGAAAAATATTATTTTTTTATTTAGTTTTGAAAGATATCTTCTAATTTTTGCCGGTAACTATCAGTCTGGTCTTCACTCATAGTTTTTATCTAACCAATTTGTTCAAGGATTTTTTCCGAAGCTTTAGAATATTCAATTCTTACAAAACCTGTTTCTGTGTCAAACGAGTATATAGCAATGTTTTTATCATTTTTTATTTTGCTAACAGCTATCCTCTGTTCTTTTCTCAGATTTTTTTTTCTTTGTTTTTAGTTCTCTTAAAACTTTTTTTCCTTAAATTTTGTGCATTTTTTACTTTGTTCATTAAATCATTTTGTTTCTTTAGCAAATCCATATTTAAAACTTGTTTGTTAAAACCTCATAACTGACTGTAGAATTACCTGAGTTTGATAAACTTTTTACTTTTAAAATACTGTATTAAAGCGCGTTTTAATAATTTTTAACTACAACATTTAAGAATATTAAAATTGTTTTTAGATTTATTTTAAATGTTTAATAAAAATATTATTCTAATTTTTAAGTATCAATGTATATGGTTTATATCGTGTGTTTATAGTTTATAATGTAAGCAAATTTAAATTTTGTTTTATTTTTTATAAAATTTTTTTACATTTGTATTTCTAATTGTTTCATAACTTCTAGATTCGTGAAGAATGCCTAGATTTGGTCTTTCTAAAGCTACTGCTACATCAGATCTGCTTCTAAAGCTACTGCTACATCAGATATGCAAAGTAGTGCTTAAAGCCAAAACTTGCAATCAAAGAGGGAAGACTATGGTTGTAGCAAACCTTTCTCATGGTTTTGGTAGAAAATTGTTACATTTTGTTATACAGGCTGATGTTTATAGTCGAATAGAAATAAAAATTTAATCTATATATTAATTTGTTCATTTATAAAATGACAATATTTGTATCGAATACTTTACTCTTGGTGGGCGATCAATAAAAAAACAAGTACCGAGTCAAATTGTAATTATTATTTGTTAACTGATGTTTACACTTATTAACTCAATGTTTAGCCATAAAATTATTTTTATTACAGTGTCAATATCTTACCGTGTTATTTAGCACGTTATTATGTATACGTAATATTATGTAGCATTTTATTATGGATAATTCGAATTGATAAAACACTCCAAGATGGATTTCTTATAAGGAACGTCTACAATTAAAAAGACTTATATTATATAGATATATTATTTATGAAATATGATTGATCACAAAATTCTGTAAAAGTTGTTTTTTGATTGTCTTTCTTTCGACTTTTTATTATAACAGTTTTCGGACGTAAATTAAATTTTCAACCAAAAACTTTGTTTTCATTTCTTATAGAAGCAATAAGAAGAAAAATAAGCTTTGTAGTCTGCTAGTCTAGGCTTTTTGCTAGTCTGTTTTCGAAAAATTTTCGACAGAAGCGGAGACAAAATGAAAAAAGTCGAAAGAAAGACAATCAAAAAACAAGTTTTACAGAATGTTGTGATCAAACGAGCCGTAATGCTAAACCATTGACATTAAAACTATTACCGCTTACATTACAAACAAATAACAATAAAAGTATAGAAAATCTTAAAAATCATTTTGTCATATTAACTATTTATTTATATATGCAATAATTATATTATTTACAATTTATTATATATTAAGTATATATGCACATTTTTAGGACGTAATTTAAACTGTTATAATTTAGTGTGGTATTTATAGGCTGATGCTAGTAACTAAAATCCAGTAAAAATTTAAAATAAAATATATCCAGTATAAAGAGATTTTTTTACTTTGATATTTTTAAATTAATTTATAAAAACTTTGATACAAGAAGTCTTAGATTTAATCTTGCTGAAAAACTTGATTTTTTGACTCTATGGAGGTTTTACTTCGTTGAATGAAACAACTTTCTGAGAATTTATGATTCATTTCAGTGTTGTCAACCAAGCTATCCGTTGAAATTTAAAAACTGAATATATAGAGTATATATATAGATATGAATATATTTATATCGCCTATATTGTATATATTTATATACTAGTTTCATTAAAGTAACTTTTCATAATACTATTAGATTATTTTCACTATACCTTCTATATTGTTTTCATTTTTAAAATTATGTAAATTTATCTTTTTTTAAAAATGCACGCCAGATTATTTCCTTTTTTCGTTAAATTCACAATCCAGACCATTTCGTTCAAAATTTATTGTAGGAGGTTCCTCGTGGTAATCATTATTTGGAAAAATATTACTACTTTTAGAATAGCATTTCGCTCGAAATTGTGGTGAAAACAAATTTCGACGATTGGACTGAAAGGATGTGGTAATATCTAAAAAAGAACACAAAATTACAATAAAGTAAAAAATTATAGAGAATTTACACAAGTCTAAAAAGTTTAAAAAAAATTTTATTTCTGTAAAAATTTACTTTTGTTGCATCAACTTTCTAAGAAATATTTTAAATCCTACTCTGAACCACTTAACTCTATTACTGGAGTTTTTGATCTTTTAAATTCAATAACCTTCTAACTCTATGACTATTAACCCAATATCTACTTTGAACCTACTTACTCTATTAAAAACAATTGTTTCCAAAAATACATATATATATATATTTTTTATTAACCCTTTTTTTTATAATTTGAAGACAAAGACTTTTAACTGAATGAGGCATTAGTCTTAGAGCTGATAATAGATTATTTCATTTTACTTTTATTTTTCTTGACACAGAAACGGATTACATTTTCAAAACGGATTACATTTTCGAAACCACCGTACCTTGTTCTGTTATGACCTAGATTTTAAAAATATTCTGTCGATATCTAAAAAAATAAAAGGGGGTTAAACAAGCTAGTCCAGAATTTTTAGTGTTTAAGATAGATAACTTCCAGAAATGGTGCTTTCATAAAATTTTGTAATAATCATACTAATGCAAAATAAGAATGTTTTAGAAAAAATTGCGACGATCGGAGACTGGAAACAATATTAAACCTAAAATTTGGGTCCTTGTGTCCCATGTATGGTTTCATTAAAAAAAAATTTTTTTTTTTCATAATATCTTTAACTAAATTAAAATTAATTGACAGATTTAAAATTTCATACAAAAACCTCTTTTCTTTAAAAAGTTATTATTGTTTTTAGCTTTTTATTCCCCAATTAACTTCAAAAAATAACTTTAAAAGATCACAACTTTTAAACGGCATATTTTTTTGGAATGATATTTAAAATTTGTCGATAAATTTTGATTCTAATAAATATGAAAAGAAAAAAAAACTCATAAACGTTTTAAGGGCGTTATGTTAGGGGTGTGTTCTTAGAGATTTAATATGATTGGGCCCGATCACTGGACACAAATAAAAAGAAGATTTTAGTTTTTTGTTGTGGTTTTTAGTGATATTTAAAATAACAACTTAAAAATAACTGTTTCATATTTTACAAACTAACTTTTCACAATAAATTATATATATAGTTAATCAGTAAGACTTTCAGAAAAGAAAGTATGACGAGAGTTATATGTAACAATAGCTTTATGCAATCTTTTCGAATAATTTTTGTGACATTTGGATACCTTGTAATCGTTTTCCCAGAACTGACTAAAATTTAGATGAACAGATTCAGAGGCTTGTTCGCTCCAATAGCCTAGACTTTGTTTGGATAATCACTTGACATCATTTTTAAAAATTCTACTGTATGTTTTACTAAAGCGTGTACTAAAGTCATCGCTAAACAACTAACTTTAACTTCTCTTAAGCATTTAAATGCCTGTAGTATGAAAGAAAGCTGTTTATCATTATCTAGTGAAAATAACTTGATCAAATCGTTCAAAATATCTATATTTTCAAGAAGTTTTGAACACTGTCCTCCCTTAAATTGCCCACCATGAAGCCTTGGTCTTTTAAACCTCAGTTTTTCATTCCACTCCTCTGCTTTAAAACAAAGTTCTTTAGATTTTGTATATGAATCAAGATAATTAAAAAGTTTGTTGGTGTTTCCATTGAGAAGGTGTAGCTCCAACGGAGCAAGAAGTTTTATAACCTTTGTTTCATCTCATAAATCAATAAGTGGTTGGTCTACACAGTTATCATAGGGTACTGCAGATAACTTTGATTTTTTAATTTTTTTTCTGCAAGCATTTTTGTAATTATTAGCTGATGATCTAATCATTCCAAGCGTTTTATGTTCACCTTAAAATTCAAAATTTTGAAAATCATTTTTGCTAGCTATACACCAAGGGCAAGGGCGAGTTGAAGCTGCAGTTCCTATTCCAAAAAAAATATTGGCCAACTTCATATCGAAAGCACAAAAATATTTAATACTGTTTAAATTAATAAAATTGATTATTATTTTCATATTTGCGTAAGATTCTTGCAAATTTTCTACAAGTGCAATAATAATGAGTTTGTTAACCCCACCATCTTTGTATTTTTCTTTACATATGCATTTGTCATAACTAAATTTTTTTACCTTTTCTTTAGATACCTCGCAATGATCTAAGATATTTAAACAAATTTTAAAAAATCCAGCTCCTCCATCAATGCCGACTTTTAAAATGTACTCACTTGAAATATTTCTTTTTTTGACAACATTTTCCACCAGTCCTAGAATATCTTTGCAATAAGCCATCACCTTTTCACCCTCATCAAATTTAACAGATCTTACGTCAAAGTACTCATTTAAAATGGCGTCTTCTTCAATCAGTTTATTTCTTGTATTTTTTTCAAATGATTTGCAACCTTTCCAACTTCTAAAAATACTTAAAACTTTAGCACCTTGTGTGTTACTGAGACCACATGCATTTTTTAATTTGTTCACTTCACTTGTATGTATCGGTGAATCAGTAAACAAAGCTTTAGAAGAAGTTTTTTAATACTAATTAAAGTTCTGCATGTTGCAACCTTAATTAAATTGCCTTGTTTTTCAAACTTTTGTTTAAGTGTTTTTGAACATTGCAATTCGGCACCTCTATTGTCTAAATAAAAATCTAAAATCTAAAATTTGTAATTACTTTGGAATTATTATTATAATTTAGTTTTAATAGGAACTTAATAATGAAATTAATATTTTTTTACCTTTATCTAGTTGCTTCATTAGGTTTTCCCTTCGCTTTGTAATACAACAGGTGTGGGCTAATCCTGGTCCAATAACATTTAGACATCTTTTACAAACTTTAACTGGTCCAGGAGAGGGTAGAACTTTCATGTTGAGTTTTGGTCTTCCTCTTTTTTCTATATTTGATCCACGTGTTAAATTACACCTAGCAGTAAGGCAAATATCACATTGGCAAAACTGTTGGTTTCTAGTTAGAATCGTTTCTTTGATCTTAGAGAAATCAAATGGTTTACATAAAACTATATTGGTGTTACCTTTTTCCATTTACTAAATTAGTTCGACATCTTCCACAAATTCCATTTGGAAAACGGTTATCATTTAAATTAATATTGTCAATGAAATATTTTTTAATTCTCAATAAAACTACACTTCCTTCTTGTATTTTACTTAAATTTTTTCCTTTTTCAAAGCAAATTAAACAAACTTTACTCCTACTTTGACTGTGACTTAGCCTTGAATATGGCATTTCAAAGGTGAAATAATAAATAATATTTAAATTTTCAAAGCACAACTAACGAGATTACAAACGAACGTGTAACAAAACACAAATTACAATAATGCATAAAAATCAAAACTCGTTAAAACTAAAAGTGGTTTTTAATTAACCAATTTCAAATATTTTAGTAATAAAGAATGATTTTGAGGGTTATTTAAACTGACGTAATACAAATTAAAACAGTAGTTTGTAAAAGTAAAACATGTAACATTTTATAAACTCGCTTTGGTAAAACATACAGAAGAATATTTAAAAAATTCTATATATAATTTATTGTGAAAAGTTAGTTTGTAAAATATGAAACAGTTATTATTAACTTGTAATGTCAAATATCACTAAAAACTACAACAAAAAACTAAAATCTTCTTTTTATTTGTGTTCCAGTGATCGGGCCCAATCATATTTAAACTCTAAGAACACGTCCCTAACGTAACGTCCTTAAAACGTTTATGAATTTTTTTTTCTTTTCATATTTATTAGAATCAAAATTTATCGACAAATTTTAAATATCATTCCAAAAAAATATGCCGTTTAAAAGTTGTGATCTTTTAAAGTTATTTTTTGGAGTTAATTGGGGAGTAAAAACCTAAAAACAATAATAACTGTTTAAAGAGAAGAGGTTTTTGTATGAAATTTTAAATCTGTCGATTAATTTTAATTTAGTTAAAGATATTATGAAAAAAAATTTCTTTTTTTTATTGAAACCATGCATGGGACACAAGGATCCAAATTTTAGGTTTAATATTGTTTCCAGTCTCCGGTTGTCGCAATTTTTACTAAAACATTCTTATTTTGCATTAGTATGATTATTACAAAATTTTATGAAAGCACCATTTCTGGAAGTTATCTATCCTAAACACTAAAAATTCTGGACCAGCTTGTTTAACCCCCTTTTATTTTTTTAGATATTGACAGAATATTTTTAAAATCTAGGTCATAACAGAACAAGGTACGGTGGTTTTGAAAATGTAATCGGTTTCTGGTGTACTTTTTTTTTCGTAAGAAATATTTCCACTAGGGTGTGGGTGATGAGCTTTTTATGGTCTCGCCAAACCATGAAGACACCAAATGCTAACTTTGCACAAGTTCTTTTAATCCACAATAATATAGTTGCACAATATAAATAAGGCTTAAAAAAAGGCTTAAACAAGGCTTTATTACGGGTAATAAGTGTAATTTTATTTACCCTAGAAGGTAAATTGCGGAGTAAAAATTCAATGATTTTGACATATTTTTTTCATATAATTCGTTCCTTAGTTTAATTAAAATAGCAAACCATTAAAGTTTGCTTAATATTACAAATTTAAAAGCTAACCTTGATGTGATTTATAGATTGCATTTGTTCCAGCATATATACAAATAGTGTTGCAAAGTCTTTGCTTTTCTAAATATGACAATCTTTGGAACGAAGTTCGTTGCAGTGAATCAGCAGATGGTAACCGTTTTCGATGTATGTTCAAAGTAGTATTTTTAGTTAATTTTTTACGTCCAGGGTTGAAAACCTCTTTATTGTCTTTTTTGAATTTTGACTCATCTTGGGATTTTAATAAATATTTGTTCAACCCAACGTTTTTCAAGTTAGGTACACTTTTTTTGTCACTGCTAACTAAATCGTTTTGCGTACATAATAGATTTTTACTATCATCTTTTAACGTAAGATTTTCTACATAAAGTATACTTGAGACATGATCATTAATAGTATTGCTTTGCGTATTTGATTTGCTTTTTTCATTTTTTTTAAGTTCTGAAATATTTGACGAAGAATGAAGATAACCATTTGATCCATTATTCCTTTTATACAAGCTGCAATAAGTGTTTTTATTATTTTATGTTATAACTACATTATCATCAATTTATATATTAAAAAAATAAAATTTCAAAACTGGACTTAAAATAAGAAAACAGCAAGGAAAAATAATTAAAGTTCAAAAACTTACACGTTACTTTTCATTTTTAAAGATTTAGCACCACAAAACAATCCAGTAGCTTTATTGTGCAGAGTATAGTTCACAAGAAGTTCTTCTAAATCACACTCGCTTAAAAAAATGAGAAAAATAGAAAAAAGGATAACATTTTACATTTATATAAAAAATTAAAAATTAATTAAAAAAATTTAAATACCGTGATGCTAACAGGAACGTTTCAAATGTTTTTTCAGAAATAAAACAATTATCAGAGACTGTTGTACCTTTTAATTTTTTTATTGAGTGAGTTTCCTAAATAGAATTTAAAAAGGCAATAAAAAATACCTCCAAAAAACAATTATAAAAAAAAATGGCTTCCTGTTTTAAATTATAAACTTTTGTATTATAAACAACAAAATCTTTTTCAAACCATTGATTGCATTTAAAGCAAATGCGTACTAAACAAAACCAATTTTTCAATTTCAACCGGAAAAATCCAAAACCAAAAAATAACTGAATAAAAAAAACTCCACAAAAATTAGTTTAAAGAACCTTTAGGGTTTTTCTTCTACAGTTATCTGACCTCTAATATATACTTTAAATGATTACTTATAAATACAAAATATGAGTGCTGGCAACGCAATAAAAATTTACACAATGCGTGGTTAATTGAGTATTTAGCAACCAATAGAAAAATATCTTATATGCTCTATACCTTAAAATTATGTGTAATTCAATCATTATTATCTCAAAGTATGGCTGCAACATCACTTGTTAAACTTGCATAAGTACAACTTTTAATGGAAGATAAGTCTGAATGAATGATATACATTCAAAGATGCCTTAGACAACTGTTCATAATATAACTTAGCGCACGTCAACAAGTTGGAATCAATCTAGGAAAATCTTGTGAAAGACCAAGACTTACCAATCTAAAACCGACAACATGATGTACTGTTTGCTGTCTAATACATCCAGATTTCAAGTTCACAAATACTCACTAAACTGTCTCCTAGTAAAAATGTTAGTACCTGCACAGTTCTAAGACATCTTGCCTAGGACAATAATCGCTAATCGTGCTGCATTAAAGCCATACCTTTTTCAAAAAAAATATTCATGATCACTTCTAATTTTGCAATGAACACAATGATTGGGCTGTTAAAATGCGGCAATGTTTTATCAAACAAAGCCTAGTTTAAGGAGTTTGCAGGACACAAAGATAATGTTTGTTGGCACCAGACTCAAACTTTAATTATTAATACACTGCACTTTCTGTTAAACAAAGTTTAGCCACGATAATTTGGAGTACAATCATTGACAACGGTTGTGCTGGTTTATATCTTTTATAACAAGGTGAACTGTCAATTCCATAAATTATTTATAAATTTTGAAGAACATTGTGTCTAATTGGTTTCAAATTAGAAAGTTTGACACTTTCCTCCACAAAAGAACAACTTTCTATCAAACAAAAACTTTCAATTTTCTAAACAGAATCTAAACTCGTTAGCAGATGAAAAGTCATAATGAAACCACGGTGTCGCCAAAATAATGTGAGGATGTTCTAACACTTTTTGTGGAAAATTTTTGGAAATGTTAACAAAATGTTTAACACAATGTTAACAAAAACAATTAAAAAAATTAAGAGCAGTAAATAACTCATTAGGGACAGTGTACAAGACTAAAATATTCATTTTTATTTCTCTTAACAAATCTAAACATTTTCTCTTAATAATATGATTCCCTTTTTTTTGTATTGAACTCAGTTATCTAGATTTAACTGCTTGTGATTCTTTTTTTTGTCTAAACTTTTAAAGTGTCAATATATATATATATATATATATATATATATATATATATATATATATATATATATATATATATATATATATATATATATATATATATATATATATATATATATATATATATATATATATATATATATATATATATATTAGGGTGGATCATAAAATTACTAAGAGTTACTAACCTGGCTATGGTCTAGAAAGTTGTTTTTTTATGTACTAATTTAGGAAAGTATTTACTTTTATGGATTGAACAATGTCTTCCACCCGCAACTATAATTACAAAAATTAGCATGCCCTATTATTATTCAAAAAAAAAGTTTTTCAAAATTATGTGATGTAGGTACTTAAATAAAGTGAAATTTTATAAAAATTTCAAAAATAATAACTTTTTTATATAAAAACTATTATTTTAGATTTATTGCATAATAACTATAGTTTTTTAACTAAAAGTGAAAAAGGTGCATTTTTACATATTTTTTGATAACAATTTTTTTCGACAATATGGTTTTTTTAAAACGATTATTATTTTCGAATTTTTTATAAGATTTCCCTTCTTTTGAGTACCAGGTTGACCAAAGTTTTTGAAAAACTTTTTTTCTCCAAAATATTAGGGTACCGGTAATTTTCCCAATAAAGTTGCGCCCTTTAAATCTATCACAATCATTCTCATATTTGATAGTATCAATATTAATAACTATTAGCAAAGTTTAGAGCCTGTAACAAGAAAAAAATTTTTTTTGACCCACCCTAATATATATATATATATATATATATATATATATATATATATATATATATATATATATATATATATATATATATATATATATATACATATATATATATATATATATATATATATATATATATATATATATATATATATGTATATATATATATATATATATATATATATATATATATATATATATATATATATATATATATATATATATATATATATATATATATATATATATATATATATATATATATATATATATATATATATATATATATATATATATATATATTGGATCCTTTAGTTTTTTTAAAAAATTTTTTTCAAGTTAAAAAGGTAATTCTATAAAGTAATAAATTTTTAAATTAAAGTACTTCCAATTTAAATTTTCTTGAATTAATTTAAATGCTGGTTTCTACATCAAAGTCCATAATTTTTCTCTTGTTGAATTTTATAAACTAATACACAAACATATATAAATTATGTAAGCAGAAATTTACCTTTAAATATAACTTTAAAAACCTTTTTAGCTGATTGATTAAACTTTTTTTCCTAGTATAAAAGTAACAAAAAAAAAATTAGCAAATCAATAGTTAATTAACTGGAACAAAAATGCTAATCAAATGTAAAAAGTGTGCAGAAATACTCAATGTATTTGTAAAATTTATAATATATTCTTGATAACATGGTTAAAGATTTATTTATATTATTTTTTATAAACCAACCTTTCTATGATGTTTTTGTGCACCACACAATCCATTATAAGTTTGTTAAAGTTTCCAGCAGCTTTATGTAAAAATCGTTCAATAGAGTTCTTAAAAAGAATATAGAAAAAGTATTGGCAAAACAAATATAACCAATAGAATAAAGCAAATTTGTACAACTATATGGTCATCTTTACAAAAATATTCTTTTGTAATCTATGCGTAACCCATGGATATCCATTGAAAACCAATAAAATTTTATGGGCCTTATGATTAAACCTTGGTTTTTAATTTATGAGTCATGTTGCACCTCATGTGTTTCATAGTTAACCCATGCATTTTCATGTTTAGCTCATGGGTCCCAATTATTAGTCCATGGGTTCCAATAATTTCCCCATAAGTTCAACTCGTTTCTCCGTGCAGCGTCCTTGTTCGTCAAGGTTCGTGTTTCGGAGTTATAGAGTTGAGAGAGGGTTATAACCACAAATAAGTAGCCTCCTCGCCTGTGGTGGCCTTGAGCCTTGAGGAGGTGAATTGATTAATAAAAAAAAAAAAAAAAACTGGTAATGATTACTCTGTAACATTTAATAATTAAAAGCATGGAAACTTTTTTTTCCATGTGACATGACTAAGGTTATGTTACCATGGTTTTAATTTAAACTATACTATAATCTGGCGCATGGTGGTAAAATGTAGCTTATGTGCACATATGTGTCAAAAAATAAATTAAATGCTATCTATCTAATTAAAATGGCATTTGCAAAAGAATTGAGCAGCTAAACACAGGAAATGCTTCCTATTTTTTTGGTTTAAACAATTTATTTAGTAAACTCCGAAAAAAATTTTTTTTTCTTATTTGCTGGATTTCACCACGTGCATATGATATATATGAACTATGTTTTTATTATTATATTATGATAATAAAGACATAAATATTAGCATAGTTTTTATATTATGCGTATATTTTTATATTATAGGCATTACAATATGAATTATTATTATGTTTTTAGAGAGCAGGACTGCATGAATAAATAAACATAAAAGCAAAACTCTTCTTTCAAAATATGATATGGCACAATTAGGTAGCCATTTTCAGATTTTTCTTTTTTTCTTAACTTTTTTGTTTTTTGTTTTGTTTTGACGAAGAGCAAACTCAAATATATCTATATATTTGTAACAGTTTTTTTTTTGTTTCTCGTTTTGTATTACATGGCTGATGATTGTCTTTAGGAATATTAGTATCATAAAAAATTGTTTTTTTTTGTTTATAAATTTATAAATATATATATATATATATATATATATATATATATATATATATATATATATATATATATATATATATATATATATATATATATATATATATATATATATATAATGCTCTATTAAATAATATAAATAAACCCTTTTTACTTATTTACTATAGAGCACTCTTATATGTTATGAGGACTTTCCACTTGGTAGCAGATTGCAAAAGAGCTTTTTGCAACCTGCTAGCAAGCAGGTTGAAAAAGTGCACATCTCATTTGTATATTCTTTCAGAATATCAAAATAAGATATGTACAATTTGATTTATAAATTTAGAAAAAGCTGCCTACATGCTTTTTACAAAATGTCTGCAAGTAACTCAACATATACATGACTGGCGTGAAAGAGGGAATGGGTGGTTGTGAGTATGACCCACCCCCATTCAATAAATATTTACAGCCTTAGTCAGCAAATTGAAATCTTTTTGTACCTTCAATCAGCAAGTTTGAACCTTTTTTTAGATAAATGTCAGCAAAATAGGACTTAAACTATTTATCTCTAGACAACAAATGATTGAATTTGAACATTTTTTTTTAAGTTGGCAAAACTCTTATAGCACCCCCCTCTACTTGACTTTTGACATCTACTAGCGCCTGCCTTGCATATACATTATATAGTAATATACTTATATAATACTGTACTGTGCAGATATATGTGCTAATCTTCTCTATCATCTCATTGAAGTAATTTTTATAAAAGTTCAACAACAACTTTTACAAATACAATTGCAGAACAACTGCAATTTTTTTATGCTGATAAATTAATGTTTTTTAGATTTGAAATTTCTTCATGTAAAATAATGCTCATTCTTGTTACTTTTTATGTTCAGTTTTACAAAATATTTTCATTTAATGGTCAGGTTCTTTTCAATAAAGTTTTTATTCTCAAAAACAATTTCTTTAAATCAAGTGTCAAGGAGTTAAAAGAAGCCCAAATTGGAAGGTCTTAGCAGATGCCATGTCCAACTTGCATTAGGAGTTTAGCATAAACTATAGAGTGTGCAGATGCAATTTATTTCAAAAACTATCAGCTTATAACTATTTCTAGTTTCAATATATGTTTTTTAAATTTAAAACTGTTGTAGTCAATTAAAATTTAGTATTTTTAACTAGATTTTTTAAATCCCTGAATTAATGCAACAACTACAGACATTGGTCAAACTATGTTTATTCAATGTCAAACTATGTGTATAGTGTATTCAAACAGTTTCATTTAGTCAAGTAAAAAAATTTTTTTTTTTCAACATTTTTGCTTCTAACAAAGCTGCAAGCAACCACTATAAGAGTTGGAAGTTACTGGAAGAAGTTTATAGAGCAAGAAAACAATTGACAAATGACTTAAAAGATTGCAAACTATATGAATCAGGAAAGCAAGATGAAGGAAGCAAATTCCAAAGAACTGATTTAGAGGAAAAAAAATAGAAAAATGAAAATTTTTGAAGCACTTATGAATAATCACAGAAAAAGAATGAAACTTAGTTGAATGACAAGTAACACAAGAATGAAATTTAATAGATTTCACAAGTAATGCTAGCTCTTTAGAGCAGTGCCCGTTATAGTATTTGTAGAAAAAAAGAGAAAGAGATGTAACTTTATGATGATGTGATAATGGTTGAAGGTTGGCTGAAAAAGCAGATCCAACTATGTTAACAATGTGTTTTTGCAACTTGTCTAAAATAGAAAGGGCATCATTGGAAGATCAGCTCCAGATATGGCAACAGTATTCCATACAAGGATTTGAGATTTATAGAGATAGAATAGAATCCAGAGTAAAAAAGTGCTGAGCTCAATAAAGATATGCAACCTTAGCAGATGCTAGTTTTGCAATGGATTTGATTGGGTTTTATCTGAATTAAAGTTCACCAGCCACTGTGAGTCTCATGCTGTAGCAAAAATGAGATCCTTTTCAAGCTCAGATGCCACTTCTAAGCGATCAGTTTTGGCTTCTTATCAATACAAGAATAAATGGCAGTATCATCAGCAAACAATGTTAGATGTGAGAATATCTGGAAGATTGTTGAACAAGATTTGGAAAACATTTCTGCAAGACTGCAACAGGTATGTTGTCCGGATCACAAGCTGTAGAAGAGTCTAAGCAGGAAATCACTTTAGATACAGAAGCTGGAGTAATACAAATGTCAGGCAATGGATCAACCTGTTTGTTGGCTATATCAGATAGAACGCAACTAGTGAAATCAAGAGATAATATTGATGAAAAGTTCTTAGCAAACAATTCAGTTTTGTTTTTAGGTGAGGTGACAAAGTCTAAACCGTACAAGAGAGGGGGATTAACAGATTTGCCCTTATTATTATTAAAGATTCTCCAGAAGTCACAAGAGCCTAATTTTTAAGATGAAATATGAGATTTCATGACCTGAGAATAGTAGGCTTTGGTGTTAGACAAAACTTTTTTATAATGGTTTCTAGCAATAGTAAACAGATGTATGTTTTCTGGAGAATTGTTTTGCTGATAGATATGGAAGTAATGGTTTCGATTCGAAATTGCAGTAGCACAATGTGAGGTAAACCAAGAAGAAGAATGAGGTTTAACTTTAAATCGACGAGAGTTAATAAATGATTTCATGCCAGCTTGAATTGAAGAAATTATTTAAGAAGTACATTTATAAGCAGGAAGACGAATGATTTCGACCCATAAGCTACCATGAAGAAAATCACGAAAAGAGTCCCAGTCAGCTTTGAGGTAGTTGTAAGAGGTACAATAATAGGGAGATTTTGATGATGAATAAGAATGAGATAATAGTTTTAGAGAGATCAAACTGTAATCACAAGCACCAAAGGGTGAATGTGGAGAAACTGAGCACTAACTAGGATCAGAAACAAGACATAAGTCAAGTAGAGAAGGTAAATGATTCGGGTTGTCTGGAAAACAATTTGGAAAGTTGACTATTTGAGTTAGAGATTGAGAAAGGCAAAAGTTGTGGGCATTAATGCCTGCAGAGTCACTGACACTAGAGCCAAGCCATTCAGTGTGATGAACATTAAAGTCACCAACAACAGCGATATTGGCTGATGGATAAAGAGAGAGGAAAGTTACGATGACGATATCAGTCTACCAAATCCCCGTCATTGTGCAGCTCAGACAATAAAATAGCTAGTTTGTAAGGGTATCTAGATAGTGCCAAGCTTAAATTTGAATCCCAGACTATTATTTTTAAAGTCAGCTGCAAAGGCCCATGGGATATGGAATATTCAAAATAGAACTGTGATGGATGAGATCACAGTTCTATTTTGACATCAAGGCAGCTCTGAGGTTGGTGACACCAGGGATCAACAATTTAAACTCTTGCTGTGATGCATTAAAATATTTATTGATCCAAGTACATAATGTTCTATATTGTTGTGTATGAACATAACATTCTAAATTTTCTATAATGTTTACATTTTAACGGTATTTCCATTCTTTTGGGCATCCCTATTACAAGCTGCCAGTTATCAGCTACATCTGCCATGAATATAACACAGAGGATACTGCAATAGATGGAGTCAAAAGATGCATGATTAGGGATCTTTCGCACATAATCTACACCAAAAAAATAGATTTTGTGCCAACAATCTAAATTGAATCCTAGAAGACTCACCAGATGAATGATCGCAACATAAATGTATGTTCAAATTTACTGATAAAAAATTATTAGTTTAAATTTAATTGTGTAAAACACTAAAAAAAGCTTACTTTATATCATCCCAAATGGATATCAAAAACTCAAAATGTGAGAAGAGGGAAATATTTTTTTTAATTTGCCTTTGAAAAAAAATACAAAGTAAAAAATTTTTGGTAGCAGACTAGCGCAATTTAAAAAAAAAGATAAAACTTAATGTACTTCTGCATTATTTTATTTGTTTTAAATTTTAGACAACATTAAAATGTAGCAGACTAGCTATTTTAGCAGACTAGCAGTTTTTGGTTCCCAAAGATGTGCAAGGTAGCACTAGATTGATATAAAACAATACACGATCCTTTTAATGTTATATTCTTTAAAAATATTATATATTAAACTAAGATAATAACTAATTAGTTTAGTTATTGTGTTATAAATAACTTATTATAAATAAGTTAAAATAATAGCTTTAAATAAAATCAACTAAAATCTGAAATTGCTCCCCTTGCTTTTATTAAACAAAATATTTGCTTTGCATAGTCCTCTTCTCTAAAAACATAATAAATGTATAATATAAAAATATATGCCTAATAAGCCTACTATTTTAATATCTTATACATAGTTCATATATATTATATAAAAGGGAAACAAGAAAAAAATACTTTGGACTTTACAGAACAAATTTTTTTAATCCAATTAAAATAGACTGCCTTTCCTAAATTTAACTGCACATAATTCTTTTTACTATGGCTATTCACCATTTTAATCAGATAGACAACAGTTGATTTTTTTTTTAGACAAATGTCTAAACATGGGCTATAATGCAATATTAAAGTTAAATTTTTTAAAACCAAGGTAACATATTCTTATTCATGTTACAGTATAAAAAATGTGTTACCATGTTTTAAATAACTGAATGCCACGAAACAATGATTAAGATCCATGTGAAATTGATTGGAACCCATAAACTAATAGCTGAGACACATGAGATAAGTATGAAGACCAATGACATAACCATGAAGACCCATAGAGTAACTATAAAACACATGTGTTCCATTGGTTTTTAATGGAATTCCATGGGTTACGCATGGATTGCCATAAAATATTTCCATATCAGTAGTCAAATACAATTAGAGCTATTTTGAGCCAATATAATATTAACTATTTATTTGGTTACTTACTATGATTAAAACTGCTATAATTATTGTTGTTAAATAAGTTAAAAACAATAAAAAACTGAAACAGTTTGTGAAACCTTTGTATAAATCCAAATTTGCCAGATGCATCAAAAAATATTATCATTTTTAAAAAAAATTTATAAAAATTTTTAAAGTACTGTTAATGATGTTATCAAGCTTAATCTCTTAATAAACTAAAAACTGTTTATGTGTCAGAATGTGATGATCTTGGATGGAAACGCATTGGAGTAATATTTAGGAAATTCATTGGATAACTACATTTAGCTGTGATATATTTTCAGTAGCTTTTCTTGTGTAGTGATATAAATTATCTTTAATTGCTTGCTAATAATATTCTGAGTGAATATATATTGTTACTCTATCATATTGATGACACTTTTTGATTGAGAAAAAATTTTCATTACAAATATTAACATGTAAGTTGTTATATGTTTGGCAAAAAATTATTGTTTTTGTCAATTTCAAATATTTTTTTTCAAACTGCTGTTTTTTATTTTTCATCGAACAATACTAAATATAAAAAATACTTAAATAGTTTTTATACAATAAATATTATGTTATATTACTGGAAAATATGGCACTTGCATTTGATGCAGTTATTTTTTAATAACTTTGCGTAAATTTGCATTAAATACATGAAATAACATGCAAAGTTAAACTGTAGTGCTACGTGTGTGCATTATGATATTGTATTAAGATCATTAGGTTTATTTGATCTGAATGCTATTATGGATTGAGATCAATAAATGAAACATGATGGAAATACTGAGTCTCCTAAAAAGCCTAATAAATAATATAAATAATACTCCTAAAAAGCCTTAAAACAAAAAAACTGTAATGCACCTGAAACACAACAGTTTAACTTCAACATTTTATTTAATGCATAATATGCAATATTACAAGTCATTAATATGCAACATTACAAGTCATTAAAATATAATAAAACATATGTATGTATAATAAAACTCATGAGTCATAGTTTTCTGTGGTGTTTATATACTAAAACACCATGAGATTTCAAAAAAATCATCGGGTTCTATGAGAAATTCTTAAAAATAACACATTTCTATTCTAAAAAATCTATTCTTTAAAAATAGCTCATTTCCATATGGCTTCTATGAAAATTCATGCATGGCAGTTTTTCATAGGAAACCCATGGAAAATCTTTGTCTCATGGTGTTCCAAATACTAATTGAAATTTAGTGTTTTTTTACATGGTTTTTCAATGGTAGTTTTATGTGCTTTATAATTTTTTGGTCATATTTAAATTTTAAATTTGGCAAACCTTTTTAAAGTTGAGCTAACTAAATACTTTTTTAAAGTTGAGTTAACTAAAAAAATACCAACTTCATATTATTTTCATACTATTTGTTTCTCTTGTTTCTTGAGATCAACTTTGACTTCAACTGGAGATCTAAAAATAATTTTTAAATTCTTTTACTTGCATTATATATATATATATATATATATATATATATATATATATATATATATATATATATATATATATATATATATATATATATATATATATATATATATATATATATATATGTATATATATATATATATATATATATATATATATATATATATATATATATATATAATGCAAGTAAAAGAATTAAATTCTTATACTTGCATTATATATATATATATATATATATATATATATATATATATATATATATATATATATATATATATATATATATATATATATATATATATATATATATGTATATATATATATATATATATATATATATATATATATATATATATATATAATGCAAGTAAAAGAATTAAATTCTTATACTTGCATTATATATATATATATATATATATATATATATATATATATATATATATATATATATATATATATATATATATATATATATATATATATATATATATATATATATATAATGCAAGTAAAAGAATTAAATTCTTATACTTGCATTATATATATATATATATATATATATATATATATATATATATATATATATATATATATATATATATATATATAAATATATATATATATATATATATATATATAGTGCAAGGAGTAAGGTCCTTGCACTATATATATATATATACTCTGATGGCAAGCACATCGACAGAATGGATTATCAAGTGGTCATCCTTAAAAATGAAAGAAGAGAAATCAAATTGGATGTCCTTGGCTAGGTAGATGGTACCATTGGTTTACAGACCAACTGTGCAATGAAAACAACTTTAATAACTTAGCTGAAATACTGAATCCATAAATAAAAAGGCTTTAAGCTCTTTGAAAAATCAATGGAAGCTAGAGCTATCCATACTAAAGATACCCAGAAGTAATCAATGTGCAGAGTGTGCAATCAAAGTAATGGAGGAAATTTATTCATGTAACAATAAAGACAAATTGCACCTTCGATTCCTTCTGCAACAAGCAAGAGCAAGGTCAATGGTCTGAGTCATTGCTGGATTAAAAATTTATTGCATTACATGACTATGACATTCTAAATACATTTGAATGCATAGTAATACTTATGTCAAAATCGATTTTTAAATGGCGAGGTGAACTTTTGAAAAGAAAAGTATATCATGTTGAGTCTTAAAAGAAGCAAAATTATATAAAAATTTCGAAAAAAAATAATCATTAAATAAAAAACATTGAAAAAAAAAACAATTTTTTGAAATTTTCATTTAACTTTGCTGCTTTTGAGACCCAACATGATAAACTTTTAAAGAACTTTTTTTAAATAATATTAGAAACTTCAAAAATTAAGCTACATTTTAATGTCATCTAAAAGTTAAAACAACTAAAATAATGCGAAAGTACATTAAGTTTCATCATTTTTTAAAAAACCGAAATAATAATTAGTAGAAAGCATTTTTCAACTAATAGTCTTTTTATTGTTTTACTAGCATTATATTTTTAATAGCATTATATTTCATTGTTTTACTAGCTTTAGGACCCGTAAAATACAGGTCCAGAATGCTAGTAAAACCGGTTAATAAGTCTATTATACACCAATGATTTCTATACTTATACCTTTTTATTTACTGATAGAAAAACAATGTATATTGTATACCTTTTAAAGTTATGATTAAAAAAACAATTCATAACATAACTTGAAAGATTTTTAAGTAAATTAAAACCGTTAATACTACATAACTTCTTATTGTAAATTGTAAACGTCTATAAAAAAATGAGTACAGCGTTATAAATTTTTTTTCTTTATTAGGTTTCTATGAAGTTTTTATTAAATTTTTTTCCAGACCATCCGGAGCTTATTAGGAACTTCCCCCCGATTTTTAATTTTAAAGAAAATAAAAGTTTGAATGTTAAACCTTTTTTCCTATAAAAAAAAGTTGTTTATTGAAATTTTAAGCTTTTTAAAAACTCTCTCCTGTTTGTTTCTTATAGCCTATTATATCTTTATATATCAACAATAGAAATTTAAAATATTTTAATTTGTATTTTAGAATATTGGAAAGTAATTAAAAAAATTATTATGCAACCAACAGGATTTGAAACATCACGTTGTACTTCAGCTACTACGACACACTAAACTGCCAGTTTTTAACACAATTTAAAAAACAAGACGGAATGCAATGCATATCTTTATAAAACCACAAATAAATGCTCCAAATCAAAGTAAAGGAGATTTTGCTGCAGTGCAATTTTTATATAAAAGTAAAATTTTATAAAAAAAATAAATATTTATTGAACTTAAAAAATGTTTTATTTTTTATTTTATAAAATCGAAAAAAAAATTAAAATAAAAAGAAAAAAGTTGAAAAGCAAGGATTTGAACTACAGCAATCCACTTTAGAATGCTGCAACCTAACCACTTCAACAACTAAGGCATATTGTTTAATGAAAGTAATGAATATATTTAACAAGACTTTATAAAATGGTAAATAAATGCTATAAATCAAAAAGAGATTGCCGCAAATCAATTTTAAAGTAAAAGTAAAACTGTAAAACTTGATGTTTTAACATTAATAATTTGAAGTTTACATAAATTAGATATTTGCATAAACTTTCGTTCACATTTTCTGATACAAAAAGTGCTGCGACTCTTTCTTGCCATTAACTCAAGCGTAATGGCTGCCATGAGTACCATGTCAAACACTCACGAATGGGTAACAGCATTGAATTTCTTATTAAAATATTATATGATAATATTTTTAAAATACACACAGAATGTTGCTACACTAACTATCTTATAGTCTGCTGCTACATTGGGAGTGCTGTTACATCCACTGAGGGTTTGGTTTGGGCAAGCAATCTATCATTTAAAAATTTATTCAAGTTTTTAAATTTTTTCTGGTCTAGTTTATTACCATTCTCATTGAAACTACAATTTATCAAAAAAGCTTTTCAACTACCATGCAAGACTTTATATATATCTATATATAAATAAAATGTATTCAATGATGCAACTTTCATATATATTTTGTGTGCTTTAATTTCAAACCCTAAGTCAATGTAGCTCTTACATATTCTACCTAGATAGCCAATGTATGTACTGAAGCCCCTGCAGCTATTTTTTTCAGTATGACATCATCAGTGTGCATGTATATGTATATATATATATACATATACATATGCATATATACATACATATTTATTTATATATATATATATATATATATATATATATATATATATATATATATATTTATATGTATATATATATATACATATGTATATGTATAAATATACATATGTATATGTATATATATTTATATATATGTACTTATATACACACACACACACACACACACACACACACATATATATATATATATATATATATATATATATATATATATATATATATATATATATATATATATATATATATATATATATATGTATATATATATATACACATAGTGTATATATATATATACATATATATATATATATATATATATATATATATATATATATATATATATAAAATCAACATATAACAATAAAATATATATGACATTAACACTAATTATGTTAAATTTTTATAGAAATTAAGAAAAATCAAGTCTGAGCTTAAGTAAACTGATTAAACAAGTATTATGTAAAGTTTTTTTAAAGTTTTTTTTGTCATGCTTTTTTAAATAATAAAGTAATTTTTTAAATATAGTTGAAGAAATGAGAAACGATTTTTAAAATATGTGCTTAACAAATTTCTCCTTACCAAGCATACTATTACAAAACTGTAACAGCAGTAATAATACTATAACCAGAGAACTTATCATTTCAGATTTATAAATTCAGTAATTAACTGTAGACATATAATAATGATCAATTATAAAGTTTTTGTTTAAAAATGCAAACAAAAACATCCAAGATTATCAAAAAATGGATACCCATAGTAAGTTATTTACAGCTTACTACAGACTTCCATTTTTTGATAATCTTTGAATTTTTAATCAAAAACCTTATAATTAACAATGAATATATTTATTCTAATTACTGAATTTATAAATTAAGCTTATGCAAAACATAAGTCAAGGTTAAATAGACATTGTCTAAATAATGAAGTTATCTGAAGCAATTTTGGATCTATAATTTTGTGGTGCTCAAGAATCAGATAGTAGCTATCTAGAATCAGATAGCTAGCATTCTAGAATCAGATAGCTAGCTATATAGATTCATTTAAAATCACCACTTAGATTCTAGCTAGCTAGAATCTAAGTGCTGTAACTCAACTTCTACTTAAAATTTCACCTAAAACATTTCAAATTTAACCAGCTATAATAATATTATTAATAATATACTATATGCTTATAATAATATTAATAATAATATTCCATATGCTTATAATAATATTATTAATAATATACTATATACTTATAATAATATTTTTAATAATATAATGGTTAGAATCAGAGTGGTTTAAGTCACTTTTAATTTGACATAAAAGTTATAATTTTTATATATTTTAGTTGACATAAAAAATATAATTTCTTAAGTATATGACTGTTTAGTATTCTTTTTGTTTTACAATATTAAAAGATTTTATTTATAAAAATTATATCGAGATTAGATTTTGTCCTTTTTACTCTAGACAAAATTTAATCTAGAGATGGCTGTTTTAAAGAACTCTATTGACAAAGTTTAGATGCGGAACTTATTATTAATTTACCAGTAACTTTTAAATAAAAATTTTTTTATTTTCTTTTTTTTTATTTACTAATATAGTGTTAAAATTATAGATGGTATATTTTTAAACAGTAATAATATAATTTCAAAGCTTTTAAGTTATATTTACAACAGCTATGATATTATTGCATCTGTTGTTATCTTCTTAAATATAAAGAATTAAAAAAAAAAAAAATTTCTCTTGTATAATTATGTGTATTATTTATGTGTATTCTCTTTTATTATTATGTGTATGATGAAAA